TTCCCTCCTATACCCACACGCGTGTGCAAAAAATGGATTTAAAAAAACATGCTCGCGTCGGTTATACTTAGCAATGAGGGCAGGTGGTGTGTTGCGATGGACTTTACTCTCTCCCTATAATGCAGTGTATATTTTATATCGGTGCAAGTTGGTAATTCTACGATGAAAAAAAATGTTTTTTTTCATGACTTTCAAGTTACTCAAGATTTTTCAATGAAGAGCACAACTTTTCAACCATACTATGGATTTTCGACTACTTTATTATTACTCAAGAAAAGTATAGGTGATAACATGTTTTTGTTATTATTTAGCTCGTTATTAAAAGAAAAACTTCTAATTTTCCAACACATTATATGTATTTGCAAAATAAAACAAAAAGCTTTGTAGTTCTGAAAAAGCATTGTATTTTAGGTACGAACCGTTTGGATATTTTTCTTTATACCCAACGTTTTACCCCCTCACCGCGTGAATGACAAATTTCATTAGTCTACCTCGCACTTCTCGCGTGAATAAACGGTAAAAAAAAAAAAGCCAATGCAAGACGTACACGTACGTGTCTTGTCGCCAAATAGTGACTAATGGCAAACCGTTGAATATACCTATACATGTAAACCTACGTACAAGCGGCGTTTGATATATACTGTTCCTTCCGAAATAGTCCAGGAATCTCTCGTTTGACATCAAGGATGGATTGGGTGAATAAGTGTCTGTTCAAGTAAATTTTGTAACCTGTTGATAATGTAAAACGGGAACAATAGTAACATACAATTTAATTCCTGGTGTAATAGAAGTTCCGCGTGGAAATGTACAACGTGCGTAGCAAATAAGCTACAAGGTATTGAAAACCAGATCGCACCACTGAAAGTTGTACATCGGATGTACAGCTTTTCTATCTCCCATCACCCGGTTTTTGTGGAGCAACCTGTTCGCGGCTGTTTTCTTCTTCAAGGTTTCACGCTCATCTAAATCGAACAAACACTCATTTCCACCGGTGGCAGTTACTTTTCCGTACTTTTCGATACGTATGATCTTGAACCATTTCGCAGAGAACTGACAATCGTCTCCACTATTTTTTCCACCAACAGCAAAGTTGGCAAAAACTTATTGGGACATCAGATGTTCGGAAGGATCTACGTTTCCTGGCGACTGAAAAGCTCCTCGCACGCTTCTGCGCCTTTCTGAGGCCAGATCCTCCAACTGTCTTGACTTGTGACACAGTCGATTTTCACCAATCAGAGAGGGGGCTCCTTCAGCAGTGTATTGAGTGTGTATCACACACGCCGACACACTTAGAGGATCTGACCCCAGCTGTAAGTTGCACAAGTGACGTGCATTTTTTTAACGAATGCGTGCATGTACCTCGAGTAATCGTACGTATCTCTAGCGTACATTTTCTTGGGGGTCTAATGGTTGGAAATCAGCGTAAACACGGGTTATTAAAGAGACCGAGCACGTAAAGCCGGGGCTGCTGGAAGAAAAAAAAAAAAAAAAGGAGGAAGAGAGCGAGCGAGTTCACCTACATGTATGTATGTATGTACAAAAGCAGGTGTACATCCTAGACAGACGTGTGCAACGCGGTAGACGATGAAAGTACGCGAACGGCGGCGGAAGGTGTGGCTCTCGTTTCGCGTAACGAGTTGCTCCAATTTCTTTTTTCCTTCTCTTTTTCAACGAAAGCGAAATTGACTTTTGATTCCTCCCCCCCTCCCTCCTCTTGCGCCGGGGAAGACGAAACCTTTGCAGCTTCGTCGCACACGCAAAGAAAACCAAACTCTTCCAAGAGTTGAAGCTCCATGGTACGAAAGTTGAAGAGAGCCGGGAAACTACTTTTCTCTCGTTACTGTGTATACATACATACATACATACATACATACATACATACATACACACTTGTAGGTACAGTTTAGCTGTTCTCTCGATCCTGGCTTTTCTTTTTTTCACCCGTCTGCCAGTGGATACGGCGTATAAATATTAAAGGAGAGTCCAACGAACTCGTTCTCTCCTCCCTCGCACGTGTACACATGTATATACATGGTGGACCCCTCGCTTGTGAGGAGCTTGTTTGCCCCCTTGGTGGCCCGGCGAGTGAAAAAGCTCCGAATGGATATCCTCAATGGCCCATCGATCGGGCGGTGGCACGGGGGAAGGGAAAAAGAAAACATAAATCCATACGTGCACCAGAGAAGGAGCAAAGAAAAAAAGATCGGATCAAAGGTGCCTGGGTCCGAGAAGAAGAAAGAGCCCCAGCCAGGCAGCTTTTCACATTTTTACTTTACTGTGTATGAGTGCTCGGCTTATTTTACTCCTCCACTCCTCAGGAACACGGCGCTCTTTTCTCCTCGTCTTCTTTTATTGCTCCGCACACGTGTTTTTCACGTACGGCCGCTACACTTTCAAATGTGAGCGCGGGGTATGTAGGTTTTTGTGTGCGCCGAGACTTTTCCTGAAAACCTGATGCGCTCGGGCGCACGTGTGTGCCTTGGACGCGGTGGTGGTGGAACAGTGTTGCAGTTTCAATAATCAAAGGAGTTTATACAAAATATTAACTTGTTTTGCGCTTTGATAACTATATTGACGATACGAGGATGTCCAAGGGTTAGAGATTGATTTCATCAGCGATTCTGCGTAAAGTAACAAAAAAAATCATCTTTTTGTTCGCAAGGTTTTTTTGAATACATGTTTCTTTGGTTCAAGTGAGATTAGACTGAGTCGTGCTTGTAGTTGATATCGTACAAAATGATGATTATCAAATTTTAAAACAATTGGAAACTCCGTGATGTACGTTAATTGTAACTTGGACAAGTGTAATCACTAAAAAAAAAGTGGGATTGTTGATGTACATGCACGTGTAGGTCGTACACAAAACTAGTGGATTAAACTTAATTTCCTTGATAAAAACAATCCTGTGATAACGTGAAATATTGTGCCATTAGCTTACTATTTTGGATTACAGTATATAAATGACCGGAAGAAACGTATTTATTATGAAAACATAAAAAATTATCAGTTTGATTAATCATTTATAACAACATATGACAACATTGTCCACGATTTTACCTCAAATAAATGTTTACAAAGGAAATATACGTATGCTCAGAAAATAAAAGTATCTAAAGCCACAAGTTAGATAAAATGAAAGAAACAAAATGGTTTTGTAGTCCAAGTATGGTTGTAGGGGTACAGTGAAAAAAAAATTCGTGATTGCGCACAAAAGAGGTGTAAATTTATCAATAAAAAATAGTTTTTGGGTAAACTAACGGTACGCTAAAAAAATGTTAGCCTTAATTGAACGAACGGTAAGACATTTTGTGCAAAAATTGCTGTAGGCTAATGTTTCGTATTCGTTTACACGCCTATTCTACATGTACGTTTCTCTAAATAATTTTTCTCAGTTGTTATTTTAGAGTCCATCTGTTGAAGGTCTATGTACTACACCCACAAGCAGGTTGCAACTAAAATATAGATAAAACAACTAGTCGTATATTTTTAAAGTATACCGTGTACAGATAAGATAAACTCGTGTAGCCATTTGAAGCCTTCAAGGTTCGTTGTTATACAGTTCTGGTAGGGGTAAATGGTACAGTTATTGACACCTTAAGGTAGTGATTGACCCCTGTGTAATTTGTATATCCATATATAAAGGCTCCATTAAAAAATGCATGTGGCGGTCAATCACTATCGGGGGGTCAACAACTGTACCGTTTACCCCTATGGGTAGGAGCTTTCGACCCTAAATTATCGAAAGAAAAAGAATAGGCCCAGTAAAAGGGAGGGGTCAACAACCTCCATCCCAAGGGTCACTTACCTACAAATGAATAATATATTCAGTCACAGTTGTACATGCAATAAAGAGTGCGCACTCGCATGAGTGTAATCATACTAAATGCAATCATTCCCATTTGTTCGCAAAGTTATTGCGCGATATCGAGAGCCATACAATTTTGATAGCGCAGCTACATCTTCGAAGTTGAATAAAGGGGCAGAGGCATGGCAGAGAGATAACGTGCGCGCGTGTGTGGCAAGCCAAGCCAGCTTGAGAAGCAAGCGTCGAGGCACTCGAGGCGGCGATGAGAAAGCACATACAGATATTACGTACGTACACAATATAATTATGTATAATGTATGTACATGCAGCCATAAGGTAAGTAGGTGCGTAAAATTTTGCGCTTACAGAACTGCAGAGAAGAGAGCTTATTGCTGCTGAGTTGGCGGGTATATACCTGCATGCACACACGTGTGTGTACGCAACGAGCCTCGCGGATGAGGAAACAGTACGTAAGTCCGCTCCAAGTTGGAGCCCGTGCCGAGCGAGCGAGAGCGCACTTGACCCGAAATCGGAGTTGCCCCGCTCGCTCGCTTGGCTGCGCGCTTGCTAGATAGGTATATAAGTAGTGAATTCTCCTCCCGTCCTTCGCTTATACCTACTTTTTTTTATGATTCAAAACAAAAAGCCCCACTGCAGATATCACAACAGAGGAAGGAGCATAGAGTTAGGTAAACACGCAACGCGTGAAATGTTGATGCGTCACTGCACTCACAGTTTGTCTCCGTCTCTTTGTGCATGGTGATGAGGTTTCCCCAGGAGTCACGTCACTCTTTAAAGGTGTATTAAAAATAGAGGTTGAGCAGATTCTACAGTGGTCTGTATTTCCTCTACTAGTTTTTAGGTTCAGTTATCAAATTGAATTAGAAAGACGGAAAAAAAATACAATAGGGAGGGTCATTGGTATGGGTAAAACCCGTATACTACAGAAGTAGGTGAGTAATAGCTGCCCTATACAAAGGAATACGACGTCGACGAGGCGTACCTACAACCTATTATGTGTGCATGTATAACCTAAAATACACGCAGGGCAAATAAAGAAGCTAAAATATAGGTAGGTAGGTAGGTATATACATACATATATATATATATATATATATATATATATATGGTGAAAGATGATGAAACAACAAGGGAGATAAGACGAAATTTTTTGTAAATAGGTAATGGAACTTACCAAAGGCTTTTGTTACTGCTATGGTGTAGCAGGGCGCAATATGTCAGCTGATTTGACGTTGAGCCGATCTCGGTCCCGCGGCAGTATACCACATAATTAATTGGGCTCGCCTCTACGTAGGTAGACGTTGTTAAGTATTGCTGTGGCTGCGACTGCTGGTGGTCCCGTTTTTCCTATTGCAACTTTAATTGTGTTACAACACCAGAAACACTCTCTCTCTCTACTCTTCTTCGGATGAAATGTTATATCAATGGGAGGGAGAGTATTGTATAGTGTGTGAGCGCGAGAGAGGTTGGACGGTTGGAGAGCCACCAGAGGAAAACTCTTCTCTCGCTTTGGCCGTGTGGCAGTGATAATGTGAAACCACAGCCCCTCTCTGCCTGTCCTTATCCCCAAGAGAGAGAGTATACGAGTATGATAATGATTCGCAATCGGATGCTGCTCCTCTTCGATCGGAGTAATCAGCAGAAAACACGATTTATTTATTGCACTTGCACACTTTGTGGGGGTTATAAAACACGCGTCGCACGCCAAGGAGTGCACACACTCGCGTACTTATTGCGTCGACGAAACGACACAGAACGTATGAAAATAATAATAAAACATCACGACAAAGTGACGTGCCTCTGCAAACTCTCCTGCACTCTCTTATTTTACTGCATCGACGTGCATGAACGTTACTTATGCGACTGCGACTCTCGGAGAGTATAAAAAACGAGTCAGCCTTCTGCTGCTGCTGCTGGGCTGGGCGAGAGAGAGATAGGGAAGGCGGAAGAACTGCGCCACAGCAGCACGAGCTTCGAGCAGAATAAGGAGAGAGCACGGCACACACACATACACTCTCGTTCGTTCTATTGTGTTCTGTGGTGCCCACTGGTGCCACGCGACGCGCGTCGTCAGAATATATACGTGTAAAGCTCCAGAGCTTTTTGCAACAATTGCAAGATTGCACAAGTTTCGGAGCGAGTTTCTTGTGAAAGAGTTGCTCTCTGTTCTGAGGAGAGGGAAAAGAAAAGCGCTTGTAAATCTATGCGTGAAGGAGGTAACGGAACAAGAAACAAAAAAAAACAAAAAAACAAAAAAAAAAAAAACAAGTACTTATGGGAAAAGAAAAAGTCACGCTGATACGACGTGGTCTATAGGTATATATAATAATGGTACATGCGAGTGAGAGTCTGACGACAATGACGATGAGATCAAACCTCTCAGACCCGATGCTAACTTCGAACTGCGGTGTGGTTTGAATCCTTTTCTACAGAACTATTGTACAGCCAAAGGAGTACGTAAGAGGGAGCGAGAAAAAACCTTATACCCCCACTCTGATGAATCATTGCAACATGTATACGTATATATTTATGTTTGCTTCACATATATGTGCACGTATTCGTGTGCGCAGGGGACAACAAATTAATATAATACGTTCTTTGATAAATTTAAATAGGATCTGTAATTTACCCTTTCTCTATGGGCTGCAGAACACGAGAATGTAATTAATGATGAATTTGCTTTGTCATAGGCTTGTTCACTGTTGTTAACGGAAACCCCCCCTCCTACCACTATTATCTTACATTACACTAGCCCAAGAAACTACAAATTTCTCATTAAATTTTTAAGCTGCTGGAAATGACAAATTAATTCCTTCCATATGATCCTTATCAACACATAAATTATGATCAGCATTAATTGCATTGATTTTACGCAATGAAAACTTTTATGGTACATCTTTCGTACTCAATATCGATGACGAAATAAGTTTGAACTTCACCCTCTCGAATGTTAAGTTTTTTTTTTCATGCAAAAATTAGTTGAATTTTTGAGTGAAAAACAAGGGACAAAATTATCCGAACGAAAAATATTTCAATTGTTACCGCCCCCTCTCGAAAGGTGTTTTTTTTCATTATGACGTCACTCGCTCACCACACTCTCACTAGTGCGCCGAAGATACGAAACCTTTGTTCAAGCTGCGCAACAGAGGTTAAGGTACTTGGAGAGTTTGTTGTTGATCAGTAATTTTCTTAGTTGCTTTTGTAAACAAAACTATTTTTGATTTATAGTTAAATCAGTATATCAGTAATTAATTAATAGTGTGCGTAAAGACTTTCTCGACAAGAAATGGCATCGGAAAGAACTCGGCGTTCCAATGCAGGACAAAGAATGGCAAAACTCCTCAATGAGGAGGAAGAAGACGAATTTTATAAAACTACCTATGGAGGCTTTGAAGAAGCTGAACAGGACAATGATTATAAGTAAGATTTTACGTCTCGTTGAATCGTAGTTTTGGAAAAATATTTATAAGTGTCAAACTTACAGAGAAGAAGTAGAAGTCGAAGACGAGGTTGACTCAGACTTTAGTATAGATGAGAATGATGAGCCAATCTCAGATCAGGAGGTGGAAGAAAAGAAACGAAAACGAGGAGTTTTTACAAAAGCTTACAAAGAGCCAGCCAAACCTTCCTCTTTGAAACCAAAAGAAGCCCCTAAACCAAAGAAACCAAAGCCTCAAAAAGCAGCTAGGGTTGTTGTTGATGATAATATAGGTAAGTCATGCCTAAAATCGTACTTATGCATGATACTCATTTTTCTTAATGCTTTATGTAGAAAGAAAATCAGTAAGAAGATCTACAGCCGCAAAATCAGCTGAGGTAACAAAGAGAATAAAAGAGAGAAAAGAGGATCAGAGAAAGAAAGTTAAGATTGTTAGACATGACCAACACAAACCTTCCCAAGATGAACTGTTAGAAGAAGCCCGTTTGACAGAGAAAATAAACCTTAAATCTTTAGGTAAGTTATAAGTTATACACCTTTTGTCACTTTAATTATTATTGTAAAACTAATGGCTTGTTTTTTTATTTTATAAAGAAAAATATCAAAAATTGGAAAATGAAAAAAAAAATGCTCGGACAGTACGCAAAACAAATGTAGGTCCTATTATAAGATATCAATCCCTGTCTATGCCCGTGATAGTATTATCTAATTCTAACAAAGATAAAGAAAATAAAGGACAGGATGAATCTATGGAGGTTGACAAGTCTAATGAAACTGAAAACAAAAGGTACATCAACGCATTTAATGTTCCATTACATTATCTTAACAATCAATTAACATTTAAAATTTTTTTAGTGACGAAAGTAAAATTAATAAAGATAAGTTAGAAGAGTCTAGGATATCAGTAAAAGAGAAAAGCTTTGATTGTATAGAAACTAAGGGATATTATGAGAGGACGTTTGTTACATTTGAAAGTCTGCAGCAATTTAATGAGGTTTTCAAAAAGAAGCCAGATCTCAGACCAACATTAAAATCTCTCTGTGCAATTACAAGGTAGGAGCTCAAAATTAAATCATGAGTTTTATTTTAATTGTCATAACACTACAATTCTCAATTTTACAGATTGCCAGCAAAATATCGCGATCCTATGACTCAATTACCCTATAGAAACGTACAAACATTTCGTTTGTTAAGAGATGCTTATTATCAACAAGTTGAGGTGCAATCAAATGCTAGTGATCCAATGATAACTCCAGAATTGGCGCGATGGTTAGAGTGGAGGCAGAAAAACAACCAGAATTCGCAAAGAACCACTGTGCGTCTTGAGCCTGCTTCTGCTTCGTCTACTCCATAATTCATAATTTTTATTACTTATACAGTTAGATATCCAATTTTGTAATATACGTATCATCGATGATAACAGTAATAAGACTATGCCTACAATAATTGTAAATAAATTGCTTGTACATTGGAAAGTTCTGCCATTTGATTGGCAAAATCGTTTATACTAAGAATATTTTAATTTTCATAATGTATCTTTGTAAATGCTTGAAAAGGACAAAATAAAAAATATATTCAGTATTAAACAAACAATTATACTAAAAATGTTTCATTTTAGTTACTAATGAAAAAATGTATCTAAATGAACAATGGAAACTAAAATATATGTAAATTATTGGTAAACATTGCAAAGGTTAGAGAAATACACATGACGTACTTTTCGTAACGGTGAATTTAATTTTTCATCCCAGTAGTAGTTTTGTTTTTATTCAAAGCATTTTAGCGGATAAGTACTTACTCTGAAAATTTTTCCTTTCTTTTCAATCGATTCTCTCTCGTTAGTGAGTTCGCAAAAGCGTTGTGACATTCGAGTTTATACAATGCTTTGTTAGTTGCTGAATCAAGTCCATGTATTTCTTCCTTCTTTAAAATCCTTGTCTAAAAGTTGTATGACTTTCTGCCATATCTAATCATCACTTTGTCTATGAGATTTTACACTTGATTGGAATTTTGCAAACAATAATAGTAATAATTATAATATTACGCGTCACTTTGTTATCTCTTGCGCAAGTACAAGAAAGGGGACATTGTGTAATTGTGTTGATGCTTCGTTATAATTAATACTTCTTTTGTTTTATCTTTAAAATATATTAAGCCAGTAATCAAAATAACATTATCATTATCTTGCGTCGTTGTCTATCGTCTTTATCGATCACTCTATTTCCAAGGCAATTAATAAAAACTATTATCTAGTACTGCATCTTCGATACTTCCCATTTTTTAACTGTATTTCCAATTAATTAATTTTATTAAAATCGATGAAAGCTTCTTTCTATATTAATAAAAATAATGGAATTATCCCTTAAAAGTATCATAAATTATTTTTGAGTGCACAGTGGCGCATTCATGTGAAAACGTACTTTTTTAGTTTTTTTCAATCGTTTATTCAATATAATGTTCTCGCACATATCTGTGGTTAAGTTTGTGTGTATTAACGAATCAAATCAATCATCATTCCAACATTCACGTATATTTTTTTAACTACCAAAAAGAATCGCATAAAATTGACGTCACTCTACTTACATTTTACAAAAAATCTTTACCTTTTTTACCAAGAGCCAACCAACATCAACACATATCGTGAAAACGTGTAAAAAAAATATTTAAAATTTTTTGCTAAAAACTTTTTTTTTTTAATAACGTGTTTACAAGCTTGTGGGTTCGAGTAAAAAATTGAGTAAAGCCTTCGCGACGCTTCGTTTATCATAGGTATAATATATATTTGTTATACATTTTTTTTTCGTTTTTATAAAGAATGCGTAATAACGTAAACATATTTCAGCCACTCATAATCCGTATCACAAAAAAAAAGAAACATTACTTTCAAGATTTACAAAACGTATTTTTTGCCCATTTGCTTTCAGCTTTTTTTTTTTTTTTTTTTTAATCATTTTTATTTGTTCATAACAATTATTTTTAAAGAGCGAGATGATAAGAAAGTTGGGAGTGGAACATCCGAAGGATGACATCTAATCTGGCTGCTGTTAGCTGTTTTCCTTCTCATTTGTCCTGATGTACTTATCTTTCCCTCTCTTTTTATCTTTCTCTCCTTAAAGCAGACCATTCAATCTTTCTCTCACTTCATTCACCAACTTTTCTGTGCTAAGCTTTGATGTCCATGTGTTGCTACTATTTGTTATCATCTTCACAAATATATAGCATATTGCAAACAGTTTACAGTTTATATATAATCACGTAATGCATTAAAAAAAAGTATAAAGTGTATGACAAATAAGTGGTCATATAACAACCCATCGTGAATAACATATGTAAATCTGTCTGTCTTATTTCCACATATTGAAACTTTTAATTCCTATGGTATGATGCACTGGTATAGATTATTTCGATTCACGTATGTGTCTGCCTCATTCATACACTATTTGTAGGTGTACATTTTACAGCAGAGTAAAATAAGGGATGTAGAGAAAAAGCTAAAGAGAGAGGCGTAGAAAACTAAATAAAACGGATTTCATTAATTTCACTTTTTTGACGCAGAGAGTTTATAGAAGAGGACAGAGTGCTAGGGCTTTTTGTTTTGTTGCACGTGTATGTTAAAAGGTATTTTTTAAATGTATGCATGTAGTCATTGTCCGTTTCGTATAATTTAGATTATTTTGTATAACCGTTATATAATCAGCATAGAATTTGTGTATTTTTTGAAAATTCGCTCTTGCAACGTTGTTCATTACCCAGGGTTGAAACGTACACTCGACTGATGCGTGTTTTAAAATTAATAGACTAATCAAAAAAGCTGCATTTCCGTTAATTCCATAAGTGTTGGATGTTTTTTTTTATTATTGTTATTATCGTTAATTTATTTTTGTCTTTATTATTCTCTGAGTGTTGTGGATATTCAGCGGTATCCTCTTGCTTTGGTGGGTGTGACAAAAAACCCTTCTAGCATACGAGATTATAGGCCCGTACACGTAGTCTTGGCTCTCGTGCGTTTACACACCTGCTGCTGCATCTACCAACTGCATCTACCACTCCTTTCGTCCAACTCTCTGTGTCTCTTTCACTGCATCTGAAATGAGTGGATGATAATGTATCTTACCGGAAGTTAACGTACGAAAATTTGTGATGAAATATGGACAACTTACTCATAAAGCAAATCACTCATTAAATAAATACCACGTCACTGGCAGCACTGTTTACGCATTCCTTCCGAACTCATTGTTGGCTTGACATCGATCGGTTCTACGTTTTGTGGCCGGATCGTGTCTCCCTCAGGAGGATCTCTTATCTGTTTCTGAGAGACGATTCTGTATATCTCTGTGAAATTTCGTAATACATTGTAGTTTTGAAGCAAAAAATTATCACACAAAATTATCATACATGGGGAATACACGAACCAGTTAAAATATTTTGAAATGCAGTTTCTACATTGGTTGAGTCCAAAGCTGATGTCTCAATGAAAGAGAGACCGTTTTTCTCAGCAAACGTCTTAGCCTCATCTGTGGGCACAGCTCTCAAATGCCTCAAGTCTGACTTGTTGCCAACCAGCATGATAACGATGTTTTGATCGGCATGATCACGTAATTCTCTTAGCCATCTTTCTACATTTTCATATGTTAAATGCTTTGCAATATCATAGACCAGCAACGCCCCTACAGCACCACGATAGTAACTGATACATCAAACAAACACAAAAAAAGTTAACAAATGTTTATGTCTCGTTTGAAAGTAAATCAAATGTTAAAACTTACGCGGAAGTGATGGCGCGATAGCGCTCCTGTCCAGCAGTATCCCATATTTGAGCTTTGATTGTTTTGCCATCAACTTGTATACTTCTTGTCGCAAATTCGACGCCAATAGTAGACTTGGATTCGAGGTTGAATTCATTTCTTGTAAAGCGAGACAGTAGATTACTCTTTCCTACTCCAGAGTCTCCAATGAGAACCACTAAAACACAAATGAAAAAAATCGTAAAAATTGTTTCAATTGAATTTATGTACGATTAAAAGAGCATTGAGAAAATGGAACACGAAAAAAAAAAAAAAAAAAAAATGATTTCGTTGACTAGTTAAATGGTTTTTTGATAATTTTATCAAACGTGTGACACCATTGGTGTTCAATTATCTCAAAAGCAATCATTGGTAGAGTTAGACACTGATCACATATAAAACGATCATCAGTGTAATATAGTGCTAGGTGACAAATGTACATTAATTTTAAGAGCAGCCGATGAGCTCCTGTCATTGACAGTACACAAGTTGTTTGTTAAAAATAGCCTGCTTATTATTTCTCTCTCTTCGTACTGCGAGATTGAGAAATCAAACGATAAAAGTTTACATACGAAAATTTTAGCTTACAGTATGAAAAAAGTTCCCAGTATTGTTGCTCTAAAATAATTGTTATCTACTAAGGAACGATTAACGACAACAATTTTTCTGTGCAACTATTACTTTTGTTTTTATTCCTAAGAGTATATGCTGATTCATACATATACGAAACAATAAATTGCTTGTTGGATCTAGCCGAGTGTTGTTAACAAAGAAGCTATAAAGAAAACATCTGATGTGCACCGAAATGAGCAAATGTAAAAAAAAAGTTATCGACATACTGGATAAATTGCATAAGAAATGAAGGGGTCGATGAATGTTATTTTATACATCATCGTTTAATAAAATTAAAAGCACCGATAATTAACTCTGACTTTGATTAACTTCATGTGAGCGTAGGCAGCTAATACGTAGTCATACATACTAAGAGAATTTTTGGAGTACACCAACGTGACGTGCGTATAAGTACACGTACGTGTGTATAAACTGTATACATAAAACATCAGTCAGAGGAAGAGTGTGTGCGATGCTTTTGAAGCAAAAAAAGATCTCCGATCCAGGGCTCTATTTTTTAAGCGTATGTATACACAGCTGATAGAGAGAAAGAACAGTCTTCCGAAAGGTCGAAACAAATTAATGAGTCATCTCTGTGAAGTATCACACCCCAAAGATGCGCTAACTGTTTTTTTGACTCCTAGAGAGACGAATAAAGCGTGCAATTTACAGGCTTTGGGAGAGTTCCCGAGTCAGAATATCAATGAGACGTCGACATTGTCGTCGTCGTCAGCGTACAGTCGAATAGCCTCAGGGATGAAAAGAAAAAGAACAAGCAGAGAGAGACGGACCGGACGTTGACAAGTTGGCTTGAAAGTATGACGTGCCTTCCTCGAGTTAAACTTTACTTTTTTCTTTTCTTTTTTTTTAACCGATCCAGTTAGTATTTCTGCCTGGATTTAACGCTACTTTTTTTCCCTCTTACCACCCATACTTTCAAACTTCAAGTAATCTTAAACGTCAACCGAGGGATTTCTAATCGATCATACATGTAATTTTTCTCCTTCCTGAAGCCTTTTGCTCCTAAAAATATGTATTTACTCACGATCGATCAGTTTGCACGCGCGCTCAAGACCATATACAACCTTCCAACCACACCACATGACAATAGCCAAGATCGGGTATATTTACTTATGCATTTACAATGTCATCGATAAATAACGACAGTTGATAAATCGATGGATGATGATGATGATCATCTGCTAATCATCATAATAATGACAACAACGCTGGGATCGTAAATATAAATATACTTGTGTACACACAACATAACGGAATCAAAGAAGAAGAAGAGAAGGCGTAAATACACGCATATACAGATATAGTACTTATAGGGGAATAACTAACTGCAGTTACGTACCTTTGAACAGATAATCGTACTCGTCGTCCCGAGTGCCCATCTTCTTTCAAACTGTGAATATGTTTCCTGCTGCCGATTCCTCCTCCACCGTCAGCTCAACTTCTTCCTTGGTTGAACGGAAAAAAAAACACACCACCCGCACTCTTCTTTCTCCCTGAGGATGACGAGTCGAAGCGACAGACGAACCAACCAACAAACCCGACCGACTCGACCAGCCGATGATGATCACTTGCCTTGCCAACGCACTCTCACATATACCCACACACACGCAGACGACGCGAATACGGCACACACGGAGAGAGCAACAAGAGAAAAAGACAGCTAATAAACTATACACTATATACACACTGGCTGCTACTGCTGCACGTCCCTCTTTTCTTTCTAACTCCTCTTTTCTTTATAAGTACACCCTCTCTTCAATCCAAAGAAGATTCGTGCGTGACAACTTTATTATTTACGCAATACAAAAAAAACGAAGTCACTGATGATCATGTATATGACACAACACCAGCAGCAGCTGATCTTTTCGTTCCGTTGATCGCGCGCACTATGATGCGCAATGCAACTAAGTATATGCAAGACTCGACTCGGAGAAGAGCTTTCCCTAAGTACTTATCTCTTTTCCTCTCACAAGCACGACGTTCGTCGTGTGTGTGTGTGTGTGTGCCCTCCTGGCCCAGCTATGTATGCAATGTGTGGGTGATTCAGGGGCAGCAAGGGAAAAAAGAAACACAAAGAGAGGGGATCGTGTACAAGTCTGTGTATTTTCCTTTCTTTCAATTTAACTGTACAATATGGCCTCTTTTTCATACGTGCACGGTAAGTACACATGACATATGTACGAATAAATATGGGTATGGGCATATATGCATATTACGCCCCCCTTTGCTGCAGCGTGGCCCCGATTAAAAAAATTGTATATAGCTGAATACCTATAGCTAGCTCTCCGGGGGCCACGCATGCGTTTCGTTTCGGAGTTGTCAAGCCTCGAGACGGTCCTTGCTCACGCTTTGTGCCGGTCTATCCGAAGCACGTCACTGAATTTTCCGTCTAGCGGGAAAAATTGGTTCGTGCGTGCTCGACTTCCAAGTCCGTACCGTCGAGCATATAGGGATCAGGGACAGAACGATCGATTTGAAGCTGGTAGAATATAGAATGATGTAACTGGACGAGTTACTTATCGTATCAGGATTATAAAGTAATATCTGCGCAAGGAGTTCCGTACTCAAGCGTGTAGGTATTCATTCGCTGATGTACTTTCAATTTAACGTTTTAAACGTGTGAGTATGCTATAACACTTACTGTATGAGAGTATCTCTATTTGAGACCTGTAAAATATGTATTATATATTATTCACAACGGACTTGGCTGTTTTATTGGGAACAATTTTTTTTTTATCGATGCACATACCACTATGATCTACTGAGTATAATGCTTATTGCATCTTATAGAGGACTGTTTAAGATAGAGCTTCAAGCCTGTACGTACTCATTTAAATTCGCCAACAAGTCACAAATCGAACGAAATTTGGTGTTTTTCTGGGGCCAGATTTTGTTCGAACCTAAAAAGAACCTATTAATTGAATGGAGCGAGAAAAAACCAATGTGGAATTACGGAAACACTTGTAACTTCACTTCCAGAGCGATGATGAATCAAATTTTGTTTGTCACGGAGAATTTTTAAATTTTGTTCAACTATATCGGCCTTTTAAAGATCGAAATAAGTAAGTACTTTGTGAAGCCGAGAGATGACGCGAAGAGATTCGAAAACACGGAGAGAGAAAGAGAGAGTGAACGACAGTAGCAGCAGAAGTAAAACGCACCGAGTATTCACGCGCGACTCCGAAACTCCGAAATGATTGTTTCCACATAACTATAACTTAACGCTTACTCCGAATTCAAACATTGCAGAAATTCGACGAATCGAACTTGTATCTCGTCGTCACAGGCCTATCGTGCAAAACTGTAATTTCAACATTTTAGCGTTTCGAATTTGTTTACGTACAAAAATGATCCAATATCCGAGAGCGTCATCCTCGAGGAAGTCGAGCCTCGGATGCGGGACCGGTTCGTACCTCGTGGCCTATTGCCAACGCCATTTTGAGCTTCATTGCAGTACACGTTCGCTCGGAGCTCCGGTACGGGCACGCGGATGATCAAGCAGCCTCAGTAGCATCAGAGCCGAGAGCCGAGCTGTTTTCGTGGCCTCTACTTACCTACTCCTCGCCACGGCGCGGCGAGAAAACTTTTTTCGTTCGCACGGGCAATTTAAACTCAAGACTGACAGGTGATTCATTAATTATTATTATTTTTTATTTTTTTTTATTTTTCGCCTTCTCCGCTGTTAAACTTTATTTTGATACAGTGATCTTTATTTCGGCGCTGAAGGGTACTCTTCGAAGTACAGTGTGCTTGCGTTCGCGGGTTATTCTTTTTTTTTTTTTTTTTTTTTTTTTTTTCTTTCGTTTATAGATTAATTTATCGCAGGATATCGATATTCGTCGATGTGAGGATTGAACTGTAAATATCATATTACATTTGAACAAAGGTGAAAACAAGGTACGTTTATTTCTAAGATTCGAGTTTGAACAGAACTTAACCTTCCATATAAGATGTAAAAAGAAAATACGTTCTATATGGTTGAAAAAGCTCTAATGGAATAGCAACAGTATTGCTGAGTAAATTTATTTTTATGCAATGGACAACACTTTTCTTCATTTCAACCAATGAACAACAGTTGCATTTTTTTTTTTTTTTCTATACTAAAGGCTCGTGTTACAATGCTACGTGAAATCTTTGGTTTCTCATACGTATGTACATGTATACGTGAAAACTAATCTTACTAATAAATGTCAGATAAGTGCAAAAAAAAATTAAAAAAACCTACTGATACATAGGAATGTCATGCACGTTTGCGTCTATGAAGCATTTTGTAGTTTCCAAGATTTCTAACGTCGAGTTTCAATGTGCATGACTCGCACATGATTCTGCAATATTTTTTTTTACTAGTAATAAGTAAACGGAAAATTATGAATTAACTACAAAGAAACACGAATGAACTAGTACGAATACGCTAAATTAATATGCTTGGAAATTTTATTTTTGCTAATTCTTCATAATCTCTGATAACAATATATTAAATCAAAACTTCTTTATTTTTTTTTTTTTGTAACTTTACTTCCAAAAATTTTTACAGATAAAATGATAATATTTATTTTATTGCCCGTTAGAGAAGTTTTTCATTGACCGAATTTCGGCGTATATTAAAATAAATACAATTTTAAGACTCGTACATTTCCTGATGTGATAATTGAACCATTATATTTGACTCATCGCAAAAAAATACCTGATTAGTATTTATCTCAAGGTGGGGGAAACGGGTGACGACCAAGTAATTTCTCGGCTAACGAGCATGAAAATTTATTAGTTTCCTTAATATTTTCGAACCATTTAAGGTCATTTTTTTATGATTATCAGGGACTACGGCGACAAATATAAATATTATGACGAATGTACGAAGTTTTTGGATAATAAACGAAAAAGAAAAACAATTCCGAGAAAAAAATGAAAAATCATTATTCAGTTCGGCAAAATAAAATGAAACAATAAATTAGCTAAACTTTAAAAATTAATTTAAAATAGTTTTCTGTAGTCTTGTAAATATTTATCTTGTAATTTTCAGCTATATTTTATAAGAAAAAAAAAAAAAAAAAAAAAAAAAAAAAAAAAAAAAAAAAAAAAAAAAAA